TTGGGCAAGTTACTTAACCTCTCTGTGCCCCAAGCAAAGTGGAAATAATGAAAGTACATATAGTCAGCCTGGGCAGCAAAGTGAGACCCCATCTGTACAAAAAATATATTAAAAAATTATCCAGGCATTGTGGCGTGTGTCTGTAGTCCCAGCTACTCAGGAGGTTGAGGCAGGAGGATCGCTTGAGCCTGGGAGTCCAAGGCTGCAGTGAACTATGATCGTGCCACTGCATTCTAGCCTGGACAACAGTGAGAGCTTGTCAAAAAAAAAAAAAAAAAGGACCTATCATGTGATGAAAATGAAATGAGTTAAAAAGAAAGGAAGAAAATGAAATGAGTTAATGGTTAATGTATAGAAAGTACGTTGCACAGTGCCTGGCTCCTGGTTGGCACTCTGTAAAGCTTAACTGTATAACTAAGTTGATTTTGGTCCCTGCCCCAAGTAATTTGCAAAACAAACACACAAACAAACAAAAAACAAGAACAAACTCTCTTGTTGCTTTTTAGCAAAAAAAGTGGCTCCCTTCAGGGAAGACTTTTCTGTTTTTGAGACACCGTTTCACTCTGTCACCCACACTGGAGTGCAGCGGTGCAATCTTGGCTCACTGCAACCTTTACCTCCCAGGTTTAAGCGCTTCTTATGCCGCAGCCTCTCGAGTAGCTGGAATTACAGGTGCGCACCACCACACCTGGCTAATTTTTGTATTGTTAGTAAAGAGGGGTTTTTGCCATGTTGGCCAGGCTGGTCTGGAACTCCTGACCTCAAGTGATCCACCCACCTTGGCCTCCCAAAATGCTAGGATTAGGGATTACAGGCTTGAGTCACTGCACCTGGCTTCTACCTTTTTTTTTAAAGATTCCTCCATGTCTTTTCACGTTAGTTTTTCTTTAACGAAAAGGAAGTTCAAATCTCTAAAAGTACGGTATATAAGAAACACTGGTTCTACCCATCTTTCAGAGGGAAAAAGTGCCGACATGCCGTCTTGGCTTTAGGTCTCCCTTTTATTCTTGTTTGGAATAACCCTACACGTGTGGTTAGAGTCTCCCTGTTCTCATCCCTGGTCACTTTCCAGTGAAGATTCTTAGCAGCTTCCTTCTCAGTGTGTGTGCAGAAACAGCGAGCAGTTCTGAGTAGCGTGATGCTGAACTTTACACGAATGGCTTTCTGTAGTGAGAAGGCGCCTGTCACTCATGGCCTGCAGTGGCTGCGTGACTTGGGGGAGGCTACAGGCCCAACCATGAGCCTCCTTCCCCTGGTCTCTACAGCAGCTTTTCCCAAACCCACTGAGATGGGTCAGGCTCCTAGAGAGCCTGAGAACAAAGCCCCTTTGTGACTTTTGTTTTGAATCAGGCTTGTGACAAAGGGGAGGAGCCACTGGGCTGGGTGGATGGGGGTGCCCGCAGCGTGGTGGTGTTGCAGAGGAAGAAAACAAAATTGTGTCTTTTTTTTGGTGATGTTGTCTTGCCAATCCCTCCCTCCCCCAGCTCTCCGAACAGCAGGATTTCCCAACGGCAGCTTGGGAAAAAGACCGAGTGGCAGCTTGGGGAAAAGACCCAGCGCTCCGTTTAGAAGCAACGTGTATCAGCCAACTGAGATGGCCGTCGTGCTCAACGGTGGCACTGTAAGTATCAAGATGTGATGTGGGGGTAGGAAGCCTAGGAGTCTACGGTGTGGGGGAGCAGCTTCAACAGGGACATACTCCTCCGTGGAGGCTGCTCATGTGGCCTGCAAGGACCGCAGCTCAAACGCATGCAATGCTTTTTTCTTCTTTCCCTTTCTACCCCCTTTCTCCACACACGGGATACCCACCTCTATTTAGAAAACCATCTGTAGATTCGTTTGAAAGAGTTCCTAATCCTTGTTGCACCAACTGAATTATTTGGCTTTCGTGATGCAGTGCCCCAGCTTTGTCCCTGGGAGGTGACTCTTGGAAAAAGCCTAGAATGAGGGAGCGCCCCTAGCAGATTTTGCTGACATCCAACCTAGTTTAAGGTCCCCAGTCACCCCTCTGTTGATTCCCCCGAGCTGGGTACCAGGTTCTCCCATTCCCTAAGAGAAGTCTTAAGAAATTGAAGGAGTTACTATTTCTCTCCCTCAAACACAGAAGCAGGTTTACTACTATCTGATGCCAAACAGACCTTCAGCAGAATTGTCATTGTTTACGTTTGCCTCGGTGGAATGACATTATTTTGTTTCTCCAGCAATCCAAAGATGCACTCTCATCCCCACATTTAATTTCCAAACATAGCTACATGCTTCTTTCAGAAACAAGGCCTGAGCCAGTTTACATGTGTAAATTGGGTTTCCATTCTTTATATCATGTTCCAACTCCATAACTCAACCTGAACATTCTTTTTTTTTTTTCTTTTGATGTAAATTAGGGATGGTCTTTGATCTCTAGAGGGAATTTAGGTTTTCCTGGCCTTTTGAATGGTATGCTAGGCATTGGTTTGCATTGGTTTGGAACAGGCTCAAAGACAGAATCACAGATTTGCATTCTTAAAACCCCCTGCCAACCACTGGGCTGTTTTATTGTCCCGTGCCAAGAAAAGCCTGATTCACAAGCATTCGGCCTGTGTGTTATAATAAATATGGTTAGAAAAGCCCCCATCCGTCACTCTTAAGCCCTCCTGCTTCCTTCAAGGCCGGTGTGTGAAAAAATAGTCAAGACAGAAAGTGAATGAGTTGAACTTACATTCCTTGGGGGTGGATGATTCTAGAAAAGGGAGCTGGGCTTCCCAAGAACCACAGCAGCATGACACACAGTCATTGCTGCCTCTCCTGGGATTAGTCGGCCCACCTAGGTAAAAGCAAGGTAACTTATTTTTGCCACGTTGTTTACGCATCGGTTTCTAATGTTGATTTTGCAAAGCACAGAGTTCTCAGTGTGTTATCCTTATGTGTTATTCCAGATCCCAACTGCTCCGCCAAGTCACACAGGAAGACACCTTTGGTGAAAGACTTTAAGTTCCAGAGAATCAGAATCTCTCTTACCGATTTCCCTCCCTGGCTGTGTCTTTCTTGAGGGAGAAATCGGTAACAGTAGCCGAACCAGGCCGCCTCACAGCCAGGAAATTTGGAAATCCTAGCCAAGGGGATTTCGTGTAAATGTGAACACTGACGAACTGAAAAGCTAACACCGACTGCCCGCCCCTCCCCTGCCACACACACAGACACGTAATACCAGACCAACCTCAATCCCCGCAAACTAAAGCAAAGCTAATTGCAAATAGTATTAGGCTCACTCGAAAATGTGGCTGGGAAGACTGTTTCATCCTCTGGGGGTAGAACAGAACCAAATTCACAGCTGGTGGGCCAGGCTGGTGTTGGTTGGAGGTGGGGGGCTCCCACTCTGTCACCCCTCCCCAGCAAGTGCTGGACCCCAGGTGGCCTCTTGGAGATGACCGTTGCGTTGAGGAGGACAAATGGGGACTTTGCCACCGGCTTGCCTGGTGGTTTGCACATTTCAGGGGGGTCAAGAGAGTTGAGGTAGTGGGCGGGATTCCAAGGCAAGGCCCAACTGAATCGTGGGGTGAGCTTTATAGCCAGTAGAGGTGGAGGGACCCTGGCATGTGCCAAAGAAGAGGCCCTCTGGGAGATGAAGTGACCATCACATTTGGAAAGTGATCAACCACTGTTCCTTCTATGGGGCTCTTGCTCTAGCATCTATGGCAAGAACACAGGCCCCACCCCCTTCCCTTGTAGAGCCATAGAAATATTCTGGCTTGGGGCAGCAGTCCCTTCTTCCCTTGATCATCTCGCCCTGTTCCTACACTTACGGGTGTTTCTCCAAACCCTTTCCCAGTTTTATTCCCTTGTTCATTTCAAGAGCTCCAATGCGGTCACCAGCTGAAAGCACCTCCAGGAGGCAGGTTGGAAGGCAGGCACCACGGCAGGTTTTCTGTGATGATGTCACCTAGTAGGGCTTCCGGGGTGCCCACTAGGATGCAGAGATGACCTCCCGCTGCCTTGCAAGCAGTGACACCGCGGGTCCTTTCCGTTGATATGGTGAAAGTTCCCGGGTGGAATGGATCACATGAGGGTTTCTTGTTGCTTTTGGACGGTATGGGGAATATTTTGTTTTGGTTTTTCTGCAGGTTCCATGAAAACGGCCCTTTTTCAAGCCCATTGTTTCTGTCATGGTTTCCATCTGTCCTGAGCAAGTCATTCCTTTGTTATTTAGCATTTTGAACATCTCGGCCATTCAAAGCCCCCATGTTCTCTGCACTGTTTGGCCAGCATAACCTCTAGCATCGATTCAAAGCAAAGAGTTTTAACCTGACGGCATGGAATGTATACATGAGGGTGGGTCCTTCTGCAGATACTCTAATCACTACATTGCTTTTTCTATCAAACTACCCATAAGCCTTTAACCTTTAAAGAAAAATGAAAAAGGTTAGTGTTTGGGGGCCGGGGGAGGACTGACCTCTTCATAAGCCAGTACGTCTGAGCTGAGTATGTTTTAATAAACCTTTTGATACTTCTCAAGGCCCTAGTCTCTGCTGTCTCCCCTCCCCACCCCATCCTTTCAAAGCATTGGGGAAAATAAGGCCAATCTGGCCTTCCCTGTGTGGCCCTTCTTGGAGTTTTCCTTAACAGCTAGTGCATTTCCTTGTGTTACCACGCATGGGGAAGAAAACGCATGGCCCCAGAATGCCGCCCCCACCTGACCTCCCCGGAAGCACCCCGCCTCTGCCCAGAGCATGTGCTTGCTTCTAGAGAATCCCGTTCCAGTCATGGCGTGGACTGAAAACGTAAGAGTCCTGGGGAGGGGTGGGAGGGAATGAAGCTAGGACCTGGGGTGGGGGGGGGAGGCGGTTGCATGCAGACCTGGTGTTCTGAAAAGAAAGAAGTCTTCAAACACCTCGGTCCCGTCCGGTGAAAAACGACAGCATTACACATTCTCGTGCCAGGAAATGGTTACTCACCCCCGCTCTCTGGAGTCCTTTGGAGCTTTCTGATACCATTCACACGATGGAGCAATTCACACGTTCGTTTTCTAAGTTCTTTATTGTCCAAGCATATAAGGTGAGCACAGCACAAATGGCTGCCATGGAAAGTCACGCTTCCCCAACCTAAGAACAGAGCCATCTTTGAGCCATGGGAAGCCTCACTTAATGAGACCTTTACGCCCCTTTTAAATCTGATCTGTTATTGCACTTAGGGTTTTGTTTTATTTTGGCTTTTAAGGTTGAGAGTGGGCTGAACCCCTTCATAATGGGGGCGGAGGTGGGAGTGAGGGGAGAAGGGAGAGAGCTGTTCTTTTTCTAATGACTTCACCTGAAAAGTACCAAGAGGCATCTTTGCCAAGACTGTAGCAGCCAGCTGCCCCCCGTGGAGCAAGGTTTAAAGACAAAATTAAATGGCACCTCTCTTTAAGATCTGTTTGTGTAAACAAGACTTGTTTAGGGAAAACGACCTGGAAGGAGAGCATCTGTGATCAAAATCTCTCATTGTAAGCACAAATCGTTCCGTGTCTGGTTATTAACATCGCTTTGGGACTATAACAGCCACTCTTGTCCCCCCTTTTAATAGAAAATTGTCGTTCTAGCCTGGATTTCTCCCCACTGGAGATGGAGGGTGGGAAGAGAGGGGTTCAGCTCTGACAGCTTACAAACTGGGAAGTTCTGTGCATCTCCAGGGTTTCCAGAGTTGAAGATCCGGTTGTTGGAAGTTGAGCACCCAGTGCTTTTTTTTTTTTTTTTTTTAGCCCAGATGCCGTCAGGGCCCACTGAACAAGGGTGAATTCGGGTGGTGGTCTTGGTTGGCCAAGGCTGAGTTGAACGCCTCAGGCCAAACCCCAAGCTGAAAGGGAGCATTGTGGCTTTTATAATCCAATGATGCAATGATGATACCAGCTTACAGGAGTCCTCAGCAGGTGCTTTTTATTAATTGATGAAGAGCTAAGGCTCATTTTTGATAGATAATATATATTTATTAAATGCATTAATGTGTGTTTTATAATGTAACTTTATCTTCCCCCTGGCTGACTGTTGCATACTTATAAAAAAGAAGTTAAAGAAATTTCAAGACAATCAATATGTACCATACATGACTATATAAATATTACAAATTTAAAAGGTTGTAAAGCATGGGCAGATAGGTTTTATTTTCAAAATGCTGTTCTTAACACAAAAATAAAGGCTTTACTATTTACTTAAGACGTGTGGTAGCTTGTGAAAACAACTCAATGCAACTAACTACTAGGCTTTCGGATCTGCCCTGAGGCTCAGTCTGTGGCATTTTAAATGAGAGAATCTTGGTTAACGGCAAACCACAGAACAAATTAAGATAATAAGCTTATTTACCCATAAAAGCAGAAACTTTCTATATAATACTCTGGGACTCAGACAACAGAAATCCTTTGTTACATCTGTCTGGGTTTAAGTGTCTCATCTTGTTGGGTTTGCAGTAAAAGTTAAGGGGTGGTCTCCTTTGGAAATGATCATAAGTATAAGGTCTGTTGTTATAAAAAGAGTGGTCAGTCACTAGGTAAACTTAAAACCAAATTCAGAGGTTGGGGACTTAAATTAGAATACAGATCTTTGCAAAAGCGGCCAAGAGTGGGAAAACTGGTAATAAGAGCATTTCTGTATCCCTTGGGACTAGAGTTCATTGTACATTTTAACAGCAGCTGGTGTAGAAGGATACTCCTGAGGCACTGAAGAAATAATCTGGATGAATGAATAAAATGTGAGGATAATGCAGAAAGTAAAGACTGGTCCTTTCTTTTCTAAACTATTTGCACTAAAGCTTGTTTGCAGTGAATCCTGTCTTGTACAGAAAAGATTCCATTTTCATATGTTCCAAGTCTTGTTAAAGAAATCACAAGAGAGAAAGCATACTTTGGACATTTTCCTTGCACGAGGTAACTTGTGCTCGAATGGGCAAAGATACATCTTAGCTGTGGTTAAGATGATGGAATTTTCATTTTGCCTGCAGGTACCACATCGTCCTCCATTTTGCATTTCACTGCAAAGAAAAGAAAGGGAAAGTCAGGATCCATTTACATACATAGACAGGCTTGTCATTGGGAAACCGGAAACTCTGATGTGTGGACAAGGTCAGTTGCACTAAAACCCACTGTGCGCCTGCTATTCATGGTTCCGGCCCCATGGATCCACGGGGAAGAACACAGGCCCATTGTGCTCTAAGGACAGCACCTGAAAGTTCAAAACCACTTCCCGGACTGTTCATGGCCATTCTTAATTCAGTTCAGAAAGAGGTCAGAAGTGTGCTTTGCCGGTCAGGGTACTGAAGGAAGGCAATTTTACTAAAGACGATGACAGATTCCAGGCTCTCCACTCAAACCCATCTGTCACCACACACCCTGTTCTCCAGCCACCCAAAATGGAAAACTCAGGGTATCACTGGGGTCAACGCAAAGGTCAGAGAAAATCTTTTCTCTTATGTCGTGGTCTGGACCAAGAACCTGATCTCAGTGATTTCCTGTGTCTGCCAAACAGGAAAGTTAGCTCCATATACAGGGCATGGCTCTGTGTGTAAGGGGAATTAATCCCAACAGATAAAAGCCTCTCCCCAGTTAAATATGGAAACCCAGTCCCTTAGTGGGTGTGGTAGGGGTCCTTTTGGAAAGACCCTCTCTTTTAATACATCTTTGCCTGGAGTGTCCAAGTGCTGCTTGCCCATATGTGAATGTCTTGAAAGGTGGTTTGAGCCAGGCCACAGGCTCTGATGATTTGTGGAGAGCATGGTTCTGGTAAAAAGGGTGTTTGAGCTTGTTACTATGTAGGGCTGAGGTTTCAAGTGAACCTGCCCTCGTCCTGACCTCCCAGCAACTAAGGGCATGCACCAGCCAGATGTGGCAAAGAGGTGGGTATGTACATCATCCCATGAAATGCATTTTTTTTGTTTTTGTTTTTTGGGGACAGAGTCTCTCTTTTGTCCAGGCTGGAGTGCAGTAGCAAGATCTCGGCACACTGCAACCTCCGCCTCGCGGGTTCAAGTGATTCTCCTGCCTCATCCTCCCTAGTAGCTACAGGCGTGCACCACCATGCCCTGCTAATTTTTGTAGTTTTAGTAGAGATGGGTTTCCCCATGTTGCCCAGGCTGGTCTCGAACTCCCAGCCTCAAGTGATCCACCCACCTCAGCCTCCCAAAGTGCTAGGGTTACAGGTGTGAGCCACCACGCCTGGCTCTACTGTGGTTATTTTCTGATGGAGGTGGGATGAGTGCCTTCGGCAACACAGACCAGCCCTGCAGTCTTCAAACTGAGGGCAAGGGTTCTTGGTCATGGTTCATTAAAAGGAAATCAGTTTCCAGATCATCAGCTTCCCCTCCTTCTGTCATTCCTGGCCTGGTGTGTAAAAACTCCCCAGGTGCCAAACAAGAAGTCAGTTCAAAATGAGGGCCCTCATAGTCTCCTTATTTTCTACGTTTGACAACTATCAAATTGTATCATGTATTTATTCGGTTTTGCGTACTACTAATAATCGTATTAGCAACACAAATCAGAAAAAAATATTTTTAATACTTGGAGCCTGTGGTCACAGGACATTTTAAAACATTTTTTCAAGGTATATACCTTTTTTATTCCGTGTATATGGAAGCTCTGTGGGCAACCACAGTGAAAACCCTATGTGCATCTAGACCCTATTAACGATGACATTGACCCTTCATAGTCAAGGATGCGCCACACCTCCCTAAAGACTGTCCCACTATTTCACTGATCCCTGAGATGCTAGCGATTAACAACTCACCAGGGATTGGGGGAGAGTCCTGAGTTGTAGCATCTGCCATTTCCGTAGCCTATTGGAAGCCAGCAGCCCGACAACGTAACAGGGTTGGGCAGCACAGTCAGATGGAGAGGGGCTGCCCTGGATCCTCCCAGGGAGGTACGCAGGTCAACTAGTGCAGCCAGCATCAGGCATAACTTCAGACCTGCAGGTTGGCTCTCTAGGGACAAGTTGGGGATATTAGCAATAGGGGGAAATTGTTAGAAATGCAAATTCAGGGCCTTTCTCCAGGCAGACAGAACCAGACACTGGGGGTGGAGCCCACCCATCTGCATTTTAATGAGGCCTCCAGGTGATTCTGATGGATCAGGCTGGCTCTCTAGGGACACGTTGGGGACATTTGCAATAGGGGGAAATTGTTAGAAATGCAAATTCAGGGCCTTTTTTCAGGCAGATAGAACCAGACACTGGGGGTGGAGCCCACCCATCTGCATTTTAACAAGGCCTCCAGGTGATTCTGATGGATGCTTGTTAAAGTTTGAGACCCCTGATTACTGGTTTTCTACCCTGGCTGCATGGAAGAATCACGTGGTCAGCTTCTGAAATGTACTGGTGCCTGGGTTTCACCCTAGCAATTCTGATGTAATTACCCTGGGGCCCGGGCATCAGTAGCTAGGTAAAGCTCCCGTGTGTTGCTAAGGTTCAGCCAGGGTTGAGACACAGATGGGACTTAGAATCCCTTTAAAGAAACGTGACTGTAAGACCCTGAGGAGTCCAGAATTCCCCTCAACTTCTAAGCATCATGCTGGCTGCCTGTGAGTCCCACAGGTTAAGCTGCTAGAGAGATAGCTGGCAGACAGGCCAGGCACAGTGGCTCACGCCTATAATCCTAGCACACTGGGAGGCCTAGGCAGGTGGATCACTTGAGGTCAGGAGTTCGAGACCAGCCTGGCCAACATGGTGAAACCCTGTCTACTAAAAATACAAATTTAGCTGGGTGTGGTGGCAGGTGCCTGTAATCCCAGCTAGCTGGGAGCCTGAGGCAGGAGAATCGCTTGAAGGGAGGCAGAGGTTGCAGTGAGCAAGATCGTGCCACTGCACTCCAGCCTGGGTAACAAAGCAAGACCCTGTCTCAAAAAAAAAAAAAAAAAGAGAGAGAGAGATAACTGGCAGACAGACAGATGCTAGAGGCAATTAATAGCTGGAGGGAAGGACTGGCTTGTGGGAGGATTCCCTAGCCCTTGGGTTTTCTTTAGCTTTCTTCGACTGCCTAAAGGAAGAATTCACCTGCAAGCCATTGTCCTGGTTTTTCATCCAATTCCTGTCCATGCTTTGACAACCTTGTTGCCTACTCCCTACGCGTAGACTTTGCCTGGGAAAAGGCCCCTTAGTATCTCTTTAGATCATCACTCAGAAATCTTGACAGAGGAGAGCAGAAAGGAATGAGCTGGGGACCTTGTTCACGGTGGAGGGCTGAGAGATGTTATCTCGAATAGACGGGCTGGAAATCAAGGTGGGATGTGGAGCCTCCCAGTGGAATTACCTGGGGAGTTTTGAACACCCTTCACAATTAGGTCACCATCTCTGGAGGCACAACCACACTGGAAAACTGCTTGGCGTTACCAAGTGGAACTGAGTCTGACAGTGAATACAAACGATTCCACTCCTGTATCCCACTGCAGAAACCCTTCCATACGTGTACTAGGAGGATGCTCGTGATAGCAAAAACCTGAAAACAACCCAAATGTCCATCAGCAATTGACTGGATAAACCAGTTGTGGTCTACTTGACCAGTGATTATACAACAGTGAACATGAGAGAGCCACAGCCACACACATCAACGTGAATTAGCTTAAAAACGTTGAAGGAAAGAAGAGAGGCACGGAATGATACATATAGTGGGATTCTATTTATAGCAAATCTAAACGCTGAGAGATGCATAGAAAGGTGAAAAGAGCTCCAAAGAAAAGCAAGAGAACAGCTATCACAATAGTGGGGGAAGTGGCTCCATGGGGGAAGAGCTTTAAAAGTGTTGACAGTGTTCTGTTGTTTGTTTGTTGGTTGGTTTGTTAAATGTTGTAAAGAGGTCTCGCTTTGTTGCCCAGGCTGGAGTGCAGTGGTGCGATCATAGCTCACTGAAGCCTCTGACTCCTGGGCTCAAGCGATCCTCCACAAATGTTTTATTTATTGTTATATGCGTTTTATAGTCACTGTTGTACATATATTTCACCCCCCAAAAGGTAGAAAGAAATAGGTATGTTTGTATATTGCTTGAAATTACAAAGCCAACCAATAAAGGAATGGAAAAGAACGATTTAGCTGTTTTGGGTGGGAAGGGGAGGGATGGAATCTAACCTAACCCTCACCTATCATGGCAGGAAATCAGTAGATCCTATCAAAAATCTTATTACCATAGAAACCTGTTCCAGATACAGAAGTGAGGCCAGAGGAGCAGCTGAAGTTCAAAGTCATTGCCTCTGGGGATGCAGTACTTTGCTAAAAATTAAGCAACAGATAAAATCTCTACTTGGTGGTCTTTCTCCGGGTCTTGGCAGAACACAGCCTTGCACAGGTAGGTACTTGATCAGCGGAGGGAGGAAAAGGGGAGGGAAGCAGGGGTGAGGGGCAGGAGAGAAGAAGCAAGCCAGGATGCTGTAGGAACGCAGCTTCCACCTTAGCTCAGAGACATCATCGTGGTTGGCTTCCAACACCAACAGACAGATGCCTCGGTGCCCCTATGCTGCCCTTGTCCCTCTCAGCAGGCTGGTGCCCAGCCAGTTCCGGAAGGGCTGAGAGAGTGGAAAATCCCAGAGTGAGATATGCCAGCCCTTCAGCTTCAATTAAAGGCAATGTGACAAGAAGGGCCTTGCATACTAATGAGACTCGGTACATCTTCTCCTCGTGGTCGCCCTTATCCTCTCCTGTTCCTGTGAGTGACAGGACTGAGAACTCAATTCACGGCCCAGAGAAAAACCTCCCAGCCAGCAGCACAGGACAGATAAAGAAGATGCCTAAAGCTCAAGACAGGAAATGTGGGGACCACAGGGTCATCTGGCCTCTCATGCAATGTTGTCCAGACAGGGCCTCAGCATAAAAGGATGACCTGGGGTGAAAATATAGATTCCTGGGCCCCACCCCAGACCCTTAGAAACAGAATCTCCAGGACTGAGGCCTGGGAATCAGTATCCCCCTCCACCTCAGTGCTGTGGGTGGGCGTTTTGATCTGGCAAGTTTGGGAAAGGGCAGATTTGGGCAAGTTTGGGAAACAGTGTCTGT